GAGTTGGGCGGGGGTCGCAGGGTGGGCCCTCGCCGGACCTCGGGGGCCGGGATGAGAGGCGTCCTTGCTCCTGGCTCTCAAATCCGTCCCCTTGGCCAAGGGCTGGGAGCACGCCCCGCGTCTGGGGCTCCGGCTCCGTGGCGAATTCCCCACCCCAAGCTGGGGGAGGGCGGGGTTTCCCGAGCTCTCCTCCGAGCTCTGGGCTCGCCTTCCCCGGGCTGCGAGCTAGCTCCGGGGCTGGCTCTCCGACCCTCCCCGGGGAGGGGCTGGGCCGCCTGGATGCTGAGCGCCGGCCTCCGGCAACCTGCCTGGAACGGGGGTTTCCGGGAAATGCGCTGCGTCGGGGCGGCTCCCAGGGCTTTCCCGAGGCACGGGCTGGGGGCGATCCCCGCGCTGGTCTTTCCCCTGCGAATCCTCGAAGCGGCTGGGCGAAGTGGGCGTGGGGGAAACTGGGGGGGGGCACGCCCAGGGCGCGCAGGTGAGACCCAGCCCTTCGAGGTAAGACTTCGAGGAAATTCTGCCTGCCGCAGCCGCGGACGCGGGACCCGAACACCGGCTGCCCGCACGGGCTTCTAGCTGGGCGGTTTCGGCGGGGGCTTCCAAGACCAGCCACCGCGGCGGGTCCCGGGGGGAGGGGGGCTCCTCTGGCAACCTACCACTCTGGAACTGGCTTTGGACCCTCTTCCCTGTGTTCCCATGAAATTGTAACACTCCTGTTGGGACCGACGTGAGGGGGTTCCTGCCCCACGGCCCCCGCCCCCAAACTGCCAGCCTCTGCTCAAGTCGGCGCCTCCCCGAGGCAGGCTGGGCCAGTGTGCGTCCTCTTGTATGGTCTCTCGGTCCTGGCGGAGAACGAGTCCACTACTCTCCAGCTCCGGAACACAGCCGGACACCAGGAATGGGAGGGACACTCAGACTGGGCGGGAGGGTGGGGGCGGGGACAAGGAAGGTGGGCGTTAGGGCAGATTCAGCGGAGTGCAGATGCGTTTGCCCGGAGTCCCAGGAAGGAGACAACGGGTCCCCTAGCTCTGCCACCTCTGGGAGGAGTAACCTGAAACCTTTCTTCCAATGAGTTTCTTATTGTCCCCTTGGCCAGCTTGTGACCCCCCATAGGAGCAGGAATTGGTAGCTGGCACTGCCACTTTTGAGCAGCTCGGAGCTGACAGTTCTCTGCACGAATGCCGACAGGCCTAATCCCTGTGTGTCCTTGGGTCTCCTTGAGAAGGCATGTTCTGGACTGGCTCAGAGCCCCAGGGAGACCTCCATTTAACTCCCTCCTTTGGGCTTCTTTGGCCAGGAGCTACTCTGCCCCGACCAGCTGAAGATGTGAGCCGCCGTGGGGGCACCCTCTCCTGGAGGAGCCCCTTCCCTGACCACTCGCATCTTGGTCATGTCTCCCTTTGGGTCTCCTGGCCCTTGAGCAAGTGTCGTCCTGACCACCAACTACATGGTGCGGTCATGTCTCCTTTCAGACCCAGCTCCCCCAGGGGAGGACAGTGCGGCTCATCTTGAAGAGTCAGAGTGGACAGAGAGAGGGTCAACACATGGCAGGTCCACGAATGAGGGGACCCTGGGCGTTAGGCGATGGGATTGAAGGAGTCTCTGGGGAAAAGGGGAGACGTGGCCCACCATCCTGCCTCCTGGCATCGTGCTGCCACGGGTGGGCAGGACCCTGGGCAGGGCCTCTATTCCTCCTGCCAGCATCCTGCCTACCCTTGACAAGGCTAGTGCCTCTCGTTCGTGACCATCCGGACGACCTTCGGTGCAGAGTGACAGTAGGTCAGTCACACAGACGGTGTCCCCGTGAGCCAGCCTCTCCGTTCTGCTCTTCGTGAGGATCCCAATGGGGCATTTCTGTGGTGTGCCAGCCGTCTGGGGGCGAGGGAGGGCAAGCCCCAGTTCTCACCCTTGGCGGGTCCCAAAGGCGAGGTTCCTGCTTAGGAAGACAGGAGGCTAGGTCATGCCAGGTCCGATCTGGTGACAGACACACATCCATCACTTTGTAATCTGTCTCCTTCATTAAGTAGCAGAATGGCCGTGTTTGTGGGCGCAATGTGGTCATATGTGGGCGATTTCACACAGCTCAACCTCAGTTCCTTGCTCTCATTAGCAAGCAGGAGAATTAAAGCACAGAGAGGTTAAGGGACTTGCTAAATGCCTCCCAGCAAGAAAGTGGTGGGCTGGAGCTCCAGGCAAAGGCACCACAGGTCAGCCTCACTGCCCCACTAGCTCACACTGGGAGAGGGGCAGGCCCCGGTGCAGGAGGGAGAGCCAGTACCCAGCAGAGGGCGGTGAAGAATGGAGAGGGGCAAACCCAGCCCCGTGCTCAGTCATCTCCCCTTGCTCCACCCAGGTCTCATGCCCTCTGGCTGGCCCTGCTTAGAAGGCCTGGGGTCTGCTCCAGCTCCTCTGATAACAAAGGAAGAAGCCAGGGACCCCTCCCCCGCAAAGGGAAGGCCCTGCCTAGGACCTGAAAAAGGAGACCTGCAGCCTCAGCCTCGATGGGGCACTAGGGGACTCTGGGAGACAGCTGGGCTGCCCACAGGGCTAGGGGGTCCTGGTAATCTTAGAATGCAAACCCAGAAAAGGGCTGGCTCTAAGGGAAAGGGGGGGGGGTGGAAGGTTGGGAATGGACTTGCTCCTGGAAGGGACACTGAATGTCAGTGAAGTTCGGAAGCCCCACCTGCGGTAGAGCAGGGATCCAGCTGAAGGTGCATGTCAGCCTCGGACCGTGGACATGCAGGGGAGATGGACTTCTGGAAGGTCATTTGTGCATGGGAGAGGACATCGTTCTTGCGTGAAGAGGTGGCTCGCGGGTAGGCAGTGGCTTCCATGCTCTGCGATGCCAAGGTTTCGGCCAGTTCTGCTTGAAATGAGAGAGCGAGAACAACAGAAGATATTTTAGGGTAAGATTGCCAACTGTCCTTTCTTAGAAGGCTGTCTCTATTCTAAGGCTCTATCCTCGCCACATTTGCTGTGTTAAGATGCCCTTTTATAAAACCATGGTGCTGGAAGATGATATTTTTTATGTCCTTGGCTAAATAAAAAGCTGGCATAGTGTTTGTTCCCGAAACTCATTTTTGAACTGTTACTGGTCTGCAAATTCCAAAAGTCTGGGAATCCCCACTGTAAACGACAGGGCACGAGACAGGAAGCAAAAGGACTAGATGCACGAGCCCTGCCCTTTACTCGTCTGTGTGCCTCGGCCTCCCTCGGGGTAAGTGGGCTGGGGGACATGTACCTCACACATCCTCGTGAAGTCTAAGTGACAGCGTGGCTGCCCCAGCAGTGCCTCATTTGTACAGGTTCCCAGGAGACACCGAGTGAGCAAACGACTGAATGAAACCCACATTGCCCAGTGCAGGCGGAGACTGTGGCCTTCGGAATCCAATTTAGGTCATTTATTCACCTTAAAAATGCTGTAGGGGTCTGGCCCCATAGCCTACTGGTTAAAGGAGCCAGATCCCACGTGGCCTAGTGCAGCTAAAGTCCCGGCCCCAGCAGCTTGAAAAAGGCATGGGCCAGTAGATGGCATGGTGGTTAAGGCACTGGACTCCTACGTGGCTGACTGCGGTTCAAGTCTCGGAGCTGGTGGCTTGTTTTCTCATTTTCCCTCTCTCTCTCTCTGGTGAATATGTGTGCCCTGTAACACGTTTAAAAATAATAATGATGATAAATAAATAATTCTTTAAAAAAATACACATGGGGGACCAGCAGTTAGCGTAATGGCTATGTCACTGGACTCCCACGTAGTCGACCGCGGTTCACGTCCCGGACCCGGTGGCTTAAAACTCACACCAGGCACGTGTGCGTGTGTATGCATGCCCAAGATCCCAAGAGGAGAATGGAGGAGAAGGGATTGCGGCGTGGCCATTCCCCGGGGGGGTGATTTCTCGCTTTCTGTCTCTCTGTCTCTCTCTGTCTGGTGAGAGCACGCACCTTATAGCAAAAACCTCTCCAAAAAATAAAAAATACACATGGAACACATATGTACCATGGAGGGGACAGGATTGCAGCGTGACCATGCGCCATTGGGCGTGACCATCCCCATCACTCTCTCCAGCAAGTGACAATTACATTTGTTTTTTCTCTCTCTCCTTTTAAACAAATTGCTTTTGAGATGAAAGAAATTTCCTTCTTTCTCTCTCTCTTTCTTTCTTTCTTTTCTTAGGTTTTTGTCGTAGGGTACAGGCCTTCAGAGAGAGACAAGGAGACAAAGTGAGAAATTACTCCCTGAGGGGATGGCTATGCTGCAATCCCGTCTCCTTCATTCACCTCTTGGGATTCTGGGTATGCACATAATCCTACCCAGTGTGATTTTCAATGCCAGGTCTGGGACTCAGACTGTGGGAGTCCAGCACCGTAACCACTATACCACCTGCTGGCCCCAGAGTTGCCTTACTATACAGGATTTCTTCCTTTGACTTCTCCATCCCTTATAAGCTCAGGCTGGATTCCAGAAGGCAGACTTTCTTCTGTCTGAGATGGCACCTGCCCTGACCCCACGCTGTCCTGCCCAGGGCAGCTTCTCTTCTGCCCTGGGGCAGCCCCACTCCAGGGCTAGACCAGCGGGGACATGTGCACTCCCGCTCGGGTCCTGATCTGGACATGAGGCTCTGAGAACGAACTGGAGTCAGGCTTATCCCCAGGTTTCCAGTCCCACGACTTTCTGATGAAGAAACTGGATGGGGAAGGGGCCCGGGAGCTAGCCAGAGAGGAGGAAGGCGTATGGGGTGCCCAGCCCTGCGTGCAGGATGGGAGGCAGAGGAGTCCCAAGGTTGGGCAGTGCCTGGTCCGATAGAAGCGAGAGACCGTCTCAGAGGTTTAGAGTCGCTGTTCAGAAGCTCCTGCGTACAGTCAAGGGGGGGCTCCTGGAGGAAGTGGGACGTGCACTGGGTTCTAGGCAGTGTGTGTTTGTGGGAAAACCGTGAGTGGAGAAGCTTGGCCAGGATGAGGGGCCAGTGGGCCAGCAAGGCTGGGCCTGGGGCAGATATCCAACCTAGGGGCCACTGGGTTGGCCCAGGGTCGGGCCTGGAGCAAATGTGCTGTCCAGAATCACGGGGAGCCCTGAGCCCACGAGAAGCCCTGCAGGCCCAGCTCCCCCAGGGCGAGCCTGTTTCTTTAGGACCCAGGAGCAAGAGCTGTTGTGTACCCATATTGCCCTCCCCAGCCAGGCCTCTCTGGAGCCCGCAGAGCCCAGAGGCCATTCCCCTCCAGGTCAGCCCTGGCTGCACTGCCCTCGACCTCTCAGCTCTCTCACCCTGCCTCCACGTCTGCTATTCCCCAGGGACTCCGCCGGGGCGCCCAGGGGACCTCGTGCCCCCCTCCCTTGCCTCACCCGGGAGGCTGGAGAAGGATGTGCTGACAGCTCAGGGAGCCTGCACTGTGTCTCTGTGTCCTGCCGGGGCTCCAGGACGTCTGGGCCACCTGGACTCGGAGCCAGGCTGGAGAGGAAGGCCCCGGGAGGGGGTGGCCCCGAGGTGCCGCTGAGCCAAGCTGCCAAGAAGTAAATGCCAGAGCCTCCTCTGTCCCGGGCCTGGAATTCCTGACAGATCGGGGCTGAGGGAGTCCAGAGGCCTGGGTGGTTTCACAGCCTGGGCCAGAGGCGACAGAGAGGCAGAGGAGCAAGAGACACAGTGTCCTGGGGAGCAGAGGGAGGCTTGGCAGAAAGGCCAGGGGTGCAGGGAAGGTAAATCCAACTGCTCTTGGTGCCCAGGCCTGGCAGGGCTGGACCCCGAGATGGCCCAGGCAGTGGACTTGGCCCACGCCCTACCCCTGGCGAGCCCTGCTCAGACGGCCCCCCGCCACGGTCTCTGCCCTCCCCCAAGGTCACCTTTTCATACCCCCCACTTCACGCTGTCCTTTGTTCGATCGCGTTTAGTTCTGTTGCTCACATGGTGCTCTAGGGTGGCGGGCTGGGGCCAGCTGTGTTGACTTGGTCTTGAGGAAGGCAGGTGTGCTTGGGAGGGATGCCGGCACACAGAAGGGGTGAGAGGCACAGCGGGCAGGACGCCCTGGAAGGCCCTTACCCGGGGAGTGACGGGGCAGCTGGGAAGGCGCCACCTGGTGGCCAGGGAGCGGCGACGCAAGGACGCATGGTGGGTTGGCTCTGGGGAGCAGTGGCGAGAAGCCTGGCTTCAGAAAGGCCAGAACTTTGGGGAAACCATCAGGCCAGGCTCTGGGCGCCCAGCCGCAAGTTCAGACCTGCAGCGAGTCTCCCTGCCCCTCGATGCTCGCAGTAGGGTGGAGGAGGTAGGGGCATGCCACGAAACCGTTTCTTCATGCCATGAGCCCTGTGAGGCATGTCTTCCGTGCAGGCAGGCCTAGCCTCCCTCCGCAGGTAACCTGCTATTACGTGAGCCTTCGGCTGGCCACCTTCCAGAGGGAGACAGTTCCGCTGTGTAACGGAGCGGTGCCCCAGGGGCTGCCCTGTGGGCCTGGCCCAGAGGAGACAGGGAGAGGGCAAGAGAGCTGCCTTGGGGGCTGTGATGGACGCTGTGACAGGGGTGCACAGGGCCCGCAGCAGGGGCTGCATCCGGAGCTGTGACAGGGGCTGTGACAGGCCTGAGACTGAAATGTGACTAAACCTGGAACCACACCAGAGTTGGGACAACAGCTCCCGGAGCCCAGGCCCGCACTCCCACGGCTGGCGGAGCAGTTGGCGGTGACAGCAGCAACAGCGAACACAGGCCCAGCCAGGCCCAGCACTCGTGGAAACGCCGACAGGCTGGCGCTGCCACCAGAACCCAGCTCCGGGGGCGGTGAGGCTGGCTCCCACTTAGCTCAGCCACATTTCCTGTCTCCCCTGGGTGGGCTCCCGGGCCTCTCTTTGAGAATGCACCCCCTTGAGGAAGGTGCAGGTGGACTGACTGAGGGTCCTTGTGTATTAGCCCCTTAGTTCACACGGGGCTCCCTGCACCTCCGGTCTCCCGAGCCACACAGCCTGCTGGTTGATGAGAAATGCATCTCCCCCCCCGCCAAAACCACCGTTTCCCCCACCTGCACAGGTGCGCCGTGAAGACCTGAACGCGACTTCGCTTCAGTTCACAAAGCGCAAGTGCGCTCGGCAGTGGTGACCGACGTTTATGGAACGCTCCGCCTGAGCCAGGCACCAGGCCAAGTGCTTAGTGCGGTTTAGCTCCTGTAGTCGCACAGAGCCTGGCAGGTAAGTGGCGTTACCCCCATTTTACAGATGATTGAACTGAGCCTGACTGTCTGGCCGAAGCTCCCAAGGTTAGAGTAAGAGCTGGGTTCGAAGGCAGCGCGTCTGGCCCAACATGCTCCGCTAGCTCGCACAGCAGTCTCAGTCCAGCTGCTGCCGCCGCAGGCGCACAGGGGCTCTGGACACTTCATGGGAAAAACACTTGGTGGACTTGGGGCTAGCAGGTGGCATGGTTGTTAAAGGCACTGATCTCCCACATGGCAAACCACAGTTCGAGTCCCAGATTTGGTGGCTTGCTTTCTCACTTTCTCTCTCTCACTCTGTCTCTCTCTGGTCAAATTGAAAAGTAATGATAATAGATAAATAAGTAACTCTTTTTAAAAAAAAAAAACACTTGGTGGACTCAAGCACATTAGGTTCTTTTTGGCACAAAAATATCTGAAATCCATGCATAGTTTTTATAATATGCTTTTCCCATGGTGTTTTCAAAGCCCTCATAGATTTTTTTTTTTTTTTGGAGAGATTTTCACTGTAGGGCGCGTGCGCTCGCCAGACAGACAGAGAGAGACATAGAGACAGAAAGCGAGAAATCACCCCCCAGGGGGGATGGTCACTCCGCAATCCCTTCTCCCCATTCTCCTCTCGGGATCTTGGGCACGCACGCACACGCGCCCGGCGTGAGTTTTAAGCCACCGGGTCCG